TCTTTTTCCTTGCATTCCTACTGTTCTTATCTATCACTGTTCAGTTACTGTTATAACTACCTAACACAAATTTCTCGCAAGCTTTGTTACCAAATTAATGTCCATATAGACTGTGTGCACAGAAAACTCTGAATATAACTTTCATTCTTGTATTAGTTTTCTATTACTGCAAAACAAATTAGTAGCTTAAAAGAGCACACATTCAACATCTCATAGTTTTCATGGGTCAAGTATGCAGGCATGACATCACGGGGTCCCCTGGTCCCGATCTGACAAGACTGTAATCTGTGCATTTAGCTGGGCTATACTTCTTTCTGGAGCTTGAGAGTCCTCTTCCAAGCTCATGCAATTGTTGGTAGAATTCAGTTTCTTGTAGTTTTGGAACTGCATTCGTTGTTGTCTTACTGACTGTCAGCCAGGAGCCACTTAGTTCCTCACCCTGAGGCCCTCTCCCAGGCCCTCTGACACATGGCAACTTTCTTCTTGAAGGCCAACAGGAGAATCCCTCATTCTAGTCTGCTGAGATGGAGTCTTATGTAAAGAATCATGGCAGTGGCTGTCCATCACCTTTGCCAGGCCCTATTGATTAGAAGCAAGTCACAAGTTCTGCCTGCACTCAAAGGGTGGGGATTACACAGGAAATGGCCCATTAGTGAACATGATGGAGTATGTCTGTTACAATCCCATATTATGTCAAGAAGTACAAAAGAGAACACTTCATAGTCAATTTTGAATTGGAATAGTATTTTTCTTCCTACTTATATTTTATGTAAGGAAAACTGACATTTATTTTGGAAAGTACACTAAGTTTAAGCTATTTTATTTCCAGTGTCATTATAGGATTATATCAGTATCTCCCAATAAAACAATTTTCTTTATCACACATAGTGAATGACCCCACCCCTCTGCCTGTTCTGTCATCAATGAGATTAGTATCTAAACAATTTGTTATTAAGGCCAGACCTATAAACTGACCCTATTTTCTAATTTTGTAACATCTAATTTCGTATCAGTCATTTTGGTTTAGACCCTAAGTACTGCTAAATGGAATAAATTTATTTTTAATTGCCTTTTATGAAGTATCAGGCAAACCCTTTAGATTTAGTTCTCATGCTTCCGATTTTATAATTGTCTTATATAAGCTAAAATGAAGAAAAAAGAAAAGTTTTACATCATTGCATAAATGAAGCCATGCATTTATGAATGTGTTAGTCCTGGAAAATTTTCTTGGTGGTAATTATTTCTGAAATATATCAGGAAAAAGAAATTCTATGTACTTTAAGTAAAACTACTTTGACAGCATATGCAATATCTGACATTTGGAAGGTATCTTTCCACAAAGCCAAAATGCCAATGTAATTTGATGTATTTTTAACTTGTCACATTTCCCATGCCAATGGCCATCTCAGTCACATGGCAGGCCAACTTGGAAAAATCTCATGCAGTATGGTGTGAGTATGGATAGGGTTTTATACAGTCTTTGAATCACACATAGCATTTTAATCTTAATATTATTTATGTTAGATTAGAAAAGACAAGTGTGAACTGAAATATTAAATATGAGATGAAAAAATAAATTTAATTGAACTGTTCTTTGGGGACTTTTCCATTATCCTTGGTACTTCATAATCATTAATATTTGTATAAATAATCTGTCTTCTTTTTTAGCCCAACTAATGACATGACTAAACTATGCAATATATTTTCATTCTGTGATAACTTTATTATGAAAAATAAACAAAAAAAATGTTTTGGGGACATGATCTCGCTGTCATCCATGCTAGAGTGCAGTGCCATGATCATAGCTCACTATAACCTCAAACTCCTGGGCTCAGTTGATCCTCCTGCCTTATCCTGGAGTAGCTGGGACTAGAGACATGAGCCACCATGCCCAGCTAATTTTTTAATATTTTATAGAGATGGGATCTCACTATGTTGCTCAGGCTGCTCAGGAACTCCTGACCTCACGCAATCCTCCCACCGTGGCCTTCCAAAGTGTTTGGATTAGAGGTGTGAGCCACTGTGCCTGGCCACAAAATTGATTTAAAAACCGCTATTCATAAGATATAGTATATTCACTAATACATATTTTCTTTGGTGCTTAGATGTAGCATATGATAATATTGAAATTACACAAGTATTTTTGTTTTGTC